CCCAAAGAACATCTGCATGAATCACACTTTATTACTGTAATTATCAAATGCAAAAAAAGGCAAGCTTTATATCCAGTCGCGCTTCTGCCATGTCGGCAAATTGTTATGTCCACACGCTCACGTTATACTGTTACCACACAGCTATTTAAGTCACAAAACACCAGTTAAGTTATGCTGTATCAGCTTTAAGATTACTTGTGTTATGCTTGCTTTGGTCATGGAGACGGCAGCTTCTCTTTATTTGCTGTTCTTCTTCTAGCTCCTATCACTAATTTTTCCACTGTAGACATTTTTGACAAATCAAAATTAGATGCATTTAAATATCTATATGAAACTCATCTTTAAAAAAAAAAAATCACTATTATCACTTCCTACATGCAAACCTATCATGAACTCCTCTGTATACCAAAGTATTCAAGAGTCAAATGTGAGGCCACCTCCCTGAAATCCTAAAGACTGGCCACAAATTGGGTCATGCAACAGCACAATAATCTCAAACACAGCAGCCAATCTATAACAGAATGGCTGAAAAAAGAAAACAATCAAGGTGTTGCAATGGTCCGAAGTCCAAACCTCAACCCAGCTGGAATGCTGTGGAAAGATCTCAGAGCTCTGCGTAAACGAATTCCCGCAAACCTCAATGAATTAAGCAACGCTTTAAAGAACGTGAACAATGTAAAGACTGATTCTAAATGTAAAATCAGGTGGTTCTAGAAGCTACTGAATCAATGGGTGTGCTTGATTTCTCACAGAACTGCATAGAGTCCCTCTTTCATAAACCCCGCCCCATGGAATAAGTCAGCTTAAAGCCCTTTTCCACTAGTACCTACCTAGATTGGCTTGACATGACTCGACTCGGATCACCTAATGTGTGTGGGGTCATTATAGCAACACGGTTGAACGTCCTGTGACGTCATTGGTATGCAACATATATACATCACAACAAAGGAGGACGTCGAGGCGATGGTATACCAGCTGCTCGGCAACGAAGAACATGGCTGGATAAAAACAGCACCGTGTGTCCCGAGTCTGACCAAAAGCCACAGACCAAGTTAAAAAAAAAAAATAAATGGCGGTTTTCATTTTTCGTGAAGGAGCTCCCCTCCGATTGCTTGGAACCACGGCCAAGTAGGTACCTAGTACCAGGTACTACAACCTAATGGAAAACCCTAAAAGCGTTGTCATACCGTCCCGAGCCGACCTGAGTAGGTACCAGTGGAAAAACGCTATTACTGTATAGACATGACATGGGGAGTGCTCAATTTTGTAAGCTCATCCTTGGGTTATGCATATATCCTCCTGAGAAGCAGCCGATTCAATGATATCCTCTTTAAGTGATATTTGTTTTTTGTCTATATCTTGTGACTTATTTGAGCTACCCTACTAAGTCCTGACGAACTAAATAAAGGACATCCTGGGCTTTCCACTGATATCTCATGTGTTTGGATAGCCTTTCTACAAAAAAAAAGATTCTTTTTTGCTTGGTTCTTTGGAGGATGAATCTCATTTTTACTGATAAATGTGTTATTCAGACCTGAAGTGTGGTACAATAGAGTCACAAAACTCATGTTAGTCTTCTGTGGTTACATAATGGTGGGTTGTAGATTCAATCACAATAAACACAGCGATAGGCAAAAAGAAAGTGGTGAACTTTGGTGGCATTTAATTTTTTGCATGTTGCAGTCTGTGAATGACATTGAGCTCATAGCAACTAAAAGAACATGCAGCAAGACACTAGACTTCATCGTCTCTGAAGTAGCTAGGTGACCTAACATTCACTCATATATTTCCAGTGTTCATAACCATATAACAGCTTTTGATTTTCTTTTGCACAGTTCTTAAATTTGCATGTTGTTAGTGTGTCCTTTAATGACAGGTCACTTGCTTTCTCCCAGACTGAAAGAACAAGGAAGGCAGACAGGTAGAGAGAGTTGGATAAAAGAGAGGGAGAGGCCACCTGGGAAATTATGGCAGGTGCTGCCGCCGCCTCAAGCATGAAAGTGAAGCTGTCCGACAGTGCAACTCACTGGATCCTTCCCTTCCACGTTCCAAAATAATTAACTCGCACAACCGCCTGCCTCCTCGCTATAATACGCTAACCTGCCTATTGTCTCAGCACACAGAGACAAGGCAAAGCCTACCTCATGACACAGAAGGAGGTGAAACTGATGACAGAGAGGACAGAGACGATGACCGAATAGGAGAAGCTGGCAATTAGGGCAATGCTGTATAGTTAAACATTAGATGACACTTATTGTATTTTCACCTGAGACATTGTGAGTGTCAGTTTTGAATTCAAAATTCTCAATGTCTTCATCTTGACTTAATATCACTGAGATATTATGATCAGCTCTTCATCGTGACCGATAAAGACTCTAAACTTCCTCTTTAATATAAAAGCATTGCAACTTTAGCCAACTAAATATCTATTAGAGTAAGAAAAATAGCACCCGTCCTCCATCTGCCTTGCCCGACAATTTCAATATTTTTTGCTAAAGTTGTTTCCTCAGACGTGCCATAATTACCAGGTCAAAAAAAAAAAAAAAAAAAAAAAAAAAAAAGAATCTGAAGAGTGGCGACTGGATATAAGCGCTATAAATCATCGCTACTAGAAATTGGGAAAGACGTCCTGCTGTGATGAGAGACTCTGCTTTGACAGTTTGTGTCTTTAGATGTATGAGTTTCATCAGATGGAATGAAATCATGGCACTTTTAAAGCCCGGTGGGGTTGGGTAAGTTGATAAAAAAATGATCTAATGAGATTATAAATATAAAAAAAGGACTAAACAGAGACACAGTTTTCAAAGTGTGACCCTATATTCATGGCCTTTAATGACACATTGGAACTCAATATTGTAATCTTGTAGTATTAAAAGAAGAATTTTAGGGAAAATATCCCGAGTTCAAGGCCCTGGAATGGAGTTGTATTTGAAGCAAAGAAACAAATGCTGCCAAATCCTTTATAGTTTCTTCTGAGTAAATTAAGGAATAATTGCTTTCTTATCATATCAAAGAGCTAAAGGGAATAATAAGACTGTTGCTTTCTCGGTTTTATCCCGCTGTGTTTATCCTATCCTATCCTATCATGAATGATGATTTGAGATGACTCGACTTATAAAGTTATCACAATTCTCGTTTCTGTTTGTCTAATTTTCTCTCATTATGCTTCACAATAAGAGGCTTTTCAGAACACTCTTTATCATCATGCCTCCGAGTGTGAAAAATGCCTGAGTGGACTTAGACTACTTCTACTGATAATAAGTCTTTTGTACTATGAATATAAAATATCCTCCACAACTTCCAAAACACTTTTTATACAAAGTTTTCAAGCATCACTTGGACTGACGGGGCCACTGGAAAGGTTAGACGTTGCTCCATATGCAGTTAAATAAGGGGTGCAGAGTGTCTCGTGTTTGGTAACTTATCTACATGGGGACACTTAAACGGTGAGGAGTCCTCACTTTCATCCCAGAACTATAGATATGCACCAGCAGAGACAGAATGCACATACAGATGGGGTTTTAAATAATACTTGAGAGACACTACACAGCTCCTTTAATCAGCCCTGATTGTCAAACTGCAGGATCTTGTTGATGCCACTCAGTAAATGGATGCTGTAATGTCTAGACCCCAGAAATTCAGGGCTTTGATGTCTAGTAAATGGACTGGGTTCCCAGTAGCATGGAACATTATGAAAATTTAAAAGAGAGGTCATCTGTCTGGTCATTTTCACATGACTGTAGTGCATAATGAGTCTATTTTTCTAAACTGGTAACTGCAGTTGATGCAGGAACCCTAACATGGTGCCAAAATGCAATAAAGATGCTTAAGGTATTTATCTAGTATTTCAAGGCTAATTACCTCAAGAGTTTTTCTGTTATACTTACATCAGACTCATAATAATAATATTAATAATAATAATTGAGTAAAACAACTTAAAATAAAACTATTAAAACAGAAAATCATTACTTTTATTTTATTGCCTTCATGTGTTATTCTACATCTGTTCTGCTTGATTTCTTCCTCACCACCAGCTGGTTGCAGCAGGTGACTGTCCTTCCCTGAGCCTGTTTCTGCAGGAGGTTCCATCCTGTTAAAAGGGAGTTTTTCCTTCTTTTAGTTTGTGCCTTGTGAGCAAAATATAATATGAACATATTTAAGAAATTAAATTAAAAACACTTTTTACTAAACTTTATGTTTCAGTATGTAGGATGATCATCGAGAATCATGTAAATCAACTGGTATTGGTACTACTTGATTTCTGGTATTGTGACCTCCTTCATTTCTTGTGTGGACTACAAAGTGCAGCAACGTTTGCAGCAAAAATGCATGTAAAACTAATTTATATTTAGAAATGTATTTAAACATGGTTCTTAAACACTGAAGTATTTAGCTTAGTTTGTTACACCAATTTGCATAACTAATTATTAAAAAGGTGTTTTTGTTAAAGTGCCACTTTGATTAAACTTTTCAAGCGCTTTAAGTGGAAAGCAACTGATTCAAATATATATGTTGTAGTTTGATGTTTGATGTTACTTTAAATAAATGTTGCTGTTGAGCAATGTGAATTTATGATACTTCAATCACAATTTATGATGCAGCTATTAAACAAAAATGTGTGCACGGTAATAAATGGTTAGCACGGTCTCTGTTTGAATTTGCTTGGACCTGGCGTGTCCTCCGTATGCCTGTGTAGGTTTTCTCTGGTTTCTCTGGAGAAAACGTTCAGTGCAGAACACTGTGCACACTCTTTCATGCATCAACCAGCACTCGTCTGATTGAACATTTTCTCCAGAATCCCCTCCAGGCCCAGGTTCATTTTCAGACGTATAATTACAGACAGCTACAGAGAGGCCTGCCTGTGTGTGTGTGTGTGTGTGTGTGTGTGTGTGTGTGTGTGTGTGTGTGTGTGTGCGCGCGTGTGTGTGTGTGCATATGTGCTGACAAAACTGACTTTGCTCACAGTTTTGCCCAGTCAGTGTGGCTGTGCTGCTACTTACTGCAGATTGAATCGGCTTCATCTGAACCGTCTGCGCACTCTACTTCTCCGTCACAGCGCCACCTAGCAGGAAGACACTGTCCATTCTTACAGGTGAAATCTGTGGCTGCGCACGTCTTCTTCGCTGTGTAGAGAAGAGAAACATTCAACATTATCATATGGCCTCAAGAAAGCATTGTGTCTGCTGATACTCTGATAGTCATCACCACAGTGAATGATTGAACCATCCATTTTCTTAACTGCTTATCCAATTCAGGGTTGCAGGCAAGAGACAGGGTACACTCTGGACAGGTTACCAGTATAACACAGGGCTAAGAGGGAGACAACCATTCATACCTACAGCAAAGTCTGAATAAGCAGTTAACCAAACAATCAAGTCTTTGGACTGTGGGAGGAAGACCGAATATCTGCAGAGAACAAACTCTACACAGAAAGCCCCAGTCACCCGGCAGATCCGATACCACTATTAGACAATATAATTGATATTTATTTGGACATAGTCTCTTAAGCACAGCAAACAATATCTGATTAAAGCTAAAAAAAGGAAAAAAAAAACAATACTTTAGGAAAGATGTGATGTAGAAGTACGCACCAAGAAAACATGTCAAATGTTTTCACTTAACAAGTCAACAAGGTAATTAAAATTGAACTTTAGTTGAGAGCAATTCTGAGCACCAATTTTAATTTAACCTACAGCAGGCAATGTTTCTACTTAGGCAGTCAGAGCATCAAAGGTGTGTTCAAGTGCAACTTGTATCAGAACACGAGAGGGAATGAGGGTCGTTTGATTAGGTACCCTTTGTTTGTGCGTCTTCTTTGAGGCAGACTTAGTGGGTCAGGAAAATGAGTCTGGTGATCCAATGTGAGATGGGTTTTATTTCTTTCAAATTCAAATAAATAACAGTGTTTCAGGTTGAATGAATGAGAAAAGCACCGGCAGCTTAACCAGGCCTCTTTCTGTAAGGATGTGTTGGATATACTACATGTGCTGTGGGGGTCAGAGGTTTTTCTCCATTTTTAACCACCGCATGATCCACCTTCCAGGCTAACGCTGGCTCTGTGTAGCAGTGATAGCTTACGGAGTCCAAAGGTTTTGTGCAGTCACTTTCTCCAAGCAAATGGAAAATTGAAGCACTTGGGTCTGTCACGGGAAAAGGTAAAAAAAAAAAAAAAAAAAAAAAAAAAAAATCTCTCCCTGACAGTGAGAGCCAGTGAACAAGAGAAAGCACTCGCCTGGCATGTTAGCGATGCCTTGGCTCACCATGATGAAATATATTGGGGGAAGGAGGTGGAGGGGGTTGACAAATGGCAAGAAAGTGTGCGAGTGTGAACAGCACTGTGCGTTTGGTGGTGTGTAGGTCAGCGTGATTTTATTCTGACAAGTGCATTTTTTTCATATGCACCACATACCTGATCTGCTGGGAACACAGGTTAGATATGAATACTGTGTGGACATACAGTAGTCTAACTGAATCCTAGCTGACTAAAGAAAACTAGCAAAAGTTTAAAAAGAAAATGGGGGGTTAAATGCGGTAGAGCAAAAAACAAACACCAATAGCTTAGTTTAACCTTAATGGAATGAGATACAGTGGGGCAAAAAAGTATTTAGTCAGCCACCGATTGTGCAAGTTCCCCCACTTAAAATGATGACAGAGGTCAGTAATTTGCACCAGAGGTACACTTCAACTGTGAGAGACAGAATGTGAAAAAAAAATATCCATGAATCCACATGGTAGGATTTGTAAAGAATTTATTCGTAAATCAGGGTGGAAAATAAGTATTTGGTCAATAACAAAAATACAACTCAATACTTTGTAACATAACCTTTGTTGGCAATAACAGAGGTCAAACGTTTACTATAGGTCTTTACCAGGTTTGCACACACAGTAGCTGGTATTTTGGCCCATTCCTCCATGCAGATCTTCTCGAGAGCAGTGATGTTTTGGGGCTGTCGCTGAGCAACACGGACTTTCAACTCCCGCCACAGATTTTCTATGGGGTTGAGGTCTGGAGACTGGCTAGGCCACTCCAGGACTTTCAAATGCTTCTTACGGAGCCACTCCTTTGTTGCCCGGGCGGTGTGTTTTGGATCATTGTCATGTTGGAAGACCCAGCCTCGTTTCATCTTCAAAGTTCTCACTGATGGAAGGTGGTTTTGGCTCAAAATCTCACGATACATGGCCCCATTCATTCTGTCCTTAACACGGATCAGTCGTCCTGTCCCCTTGGCAGAAAAACAGCCCCATAGCATGATGTTTCCACCCCCATGCTTCACAGTAGGTATGGTGTTCTTGGGATGCAACTCAGTATTCTTCTTCCTCCAAACACGACGAGTTGAGTTTATACCAAAAAGTTCTACTTTGGTTTCATCTGACCACATGACATTCTCCCAATCCTCTGCTGTATCATCAATGTGCTCTCTGGCAAACTTCAGACGTGCCTGGACATGCACTGGCTTCAGCAGCGGAACACGTCTGGCACTGCGGGATTTGATTCCCTGCCGTTGTAGTGTGTTACTGATGGTGACCTTTGTTACTTTGGTCCCAGCTCTCTGCAGGTCATTCACCAGGTCCCCCCGTGTGGTTCTGGGATCTTTGCTCACCGTTCTCATGATCATTTTGACCCCACGGGATGAGATCTTGCGTGGAGCCCCAGATCGAGGGAGATTATCAGTGGTCTTGTATGTCTTCCATTTTCTAATGATTGCTCCCACAGTTGATTTTTTCACACCAAGCTGCTTGCCTATTGTAGATTCACTCTTCCCAGTCTGGTGCAGGTCTACAATACTTTTCCTGGTGTCCTTCGAAAGCTCTTTGGTCTTGGCCATGGCAGAGTTTGGAGTCTGACTGTTTGAGGCTGTGGACAGGTGTCTTTTATACAGATGATGAGTTCAAACAGGTGCCATTCATACAGGTAACGCGTGGGGGACAGAAAAGCTTCTTACAGAAGACGTTACAGGTCTGTGAGAGCCAGAGATTTTCCTTGTTTGAGGTGACCAAATACTTATTTTCCACCCTAATTTATGAATAAATTCTTTACAAATCCTACCATGTGAATTCATGGATTTTTTTTCACATTCTGTCTCTCACAGTTGAAGTGTACCTCTGGTGCAAATTACTGACCTCTGTCATCATTTTAAGTGGGGGAACTTGCACAATCGGTGGCTGACTAAATACTTTTTTGCCCCACTGTAAAAAGCAAATCAGGATTTTGTCAAAATTGTGAACACAACTGAGGCCACAATTTAGTTGTTTGGACACCATATTATTAGGAGAAAGGGTTTGGTGTGTGTGTGTGTGTGTGTGTGTGTGTGTGTGTGTGTGTGTGTGTGTGTGTGTGTGTGTCTATGGTATCAACAAAAGCAGAGTAACAACTGAAAGCCCAAAGGAAAGCTATAATAAAGAAGCACACACTATGGAAAAGAGCATTAGTGGGGACTAATGCATTCTAAATGTGTACGTACAATTACTTAAATGACATGATAATGTATGGCAAATTGAAGAAAAGTCAGACAACCATTTGCTCGCACGCTCACCTGTACAGCATTCATACCAAGTATAGAAAAAAGGGAGTTTAGGGACATGTTGTGCAATAGATTGAAGAAGGTGTAGGCATAGAATAAATGAAAAAGAGCATATCTCTTGGGATTCCAGACTAGTCAGAGCCAGAGACAAAAGTAAATAGAAAGAGAAAGAAGAGAGGAGAGACTATAGGGGCAGAGAAAGAAAAGACAAGAGGGATACAGGCTGTTGAGGTGGGGTCTTGTGCAATGGCATCACTCTTCACAACAGACCACATAAATCCTTTTCCTTCCAACCAGCATGTTAACATAAATACCACCTCTTCCACTTTACCCTCCTTGTTTTTGTCTTTCCCTCCATCTCCACCTACAGCCTGATAAAACACCGGCCACAGTGTATACACCAGAATATTCCTTCATCTTCACAATACATCTGTGCTCATAGCACAACACAGTCATTTTCAGCATAAGACTGCCTAATTCGGATAAAGATAAATATTGGTTCAGGTGAAAGACTTACAAGCAGGAGTTAAAGTGGGATTTGACAGATGATGAAACCCTAGGATTGGATGTAGCAGCGCAGCACAGAAAAAATAATAACTTATAAGTAAATTAGTTTTCATTAGGCTGCGATACTACTCAGATATTCATTGATCTTTGGGTTTAGCAGACTGAATTCATCAAGATATGAGTAGATGTTTCACAAGCTGTATCCCCGTGTCCTGATCCACACAAGAAGCTAGTAGAAAAGGTAGAATTCAACGAGTGAGCTTCATCACTTTAAACTGATGCCGTGATGCAACTTCAAACTGACCATGAACGCCGTGTCTGCTCTGAACCAACATAGTTGATCATTAGAAGTTTAAACTAAACAGTTTAGCTAGCACCAACTCTACCAAACTGACAGTTTGTTTCATGCAAGCTTGAATAAGACAAAATTAGTATTAATGTACTTTAATTTTAGCTTTGTAGGTTTTCACATGAACATTACGCTATTTCAGATCGACAAAACAACCCTTGTTTACAACATATAATACAAGAGTTTTTGTAAAACTTAAGTATCAGTTAACTAATTTTCTTCTTATCTTAAGTATGAAAATTAGGGCTGCCACAAACGATTATTTTGATAGTCGACTAGTCACCGATTATTTATGCGATTAGTCGACTAATCAGATCATCATCCACTGGACGTAAAACTACAGCTTATTGCACCAGCAGCATCTGCTCTTATATAACTATCATTAGCTTACAGCTTTAAGCTTTTAAGGTGCTAACTAAAAATAAAGACAAGATGATAGTTTATTAAATTTTAATGAAATTTGCAGATTGTTTCGGTGAAGTTTAATAAACTCCTTGCTATCTAAAATATAACAAGACAACGGAGTATATTCTCCAGCATCTCACACTTCTGATAATCAGCTGTCTGCTTGACGTTTATTCAGCTGTGTAAAAACTAACTTTAATCTCAGACAAACTGATTTACTCAGGAACAAATAAAATACAAAAAAAAAAAAAAGCCAAACAATAACATTTTTAAGTTATCTAAGTGACTCATATATTTAACCTGAGTAGCGAAAGACGGCGGTGGGTTTGAAAACAATTTG